CCAGTACTTCTCGGTCAATGTGAACACCGGCATTATAATGGTCAGCGAACGGATAGACAGGGAGCAGCTCTGCGGGCAGAACCCTCGCTGCTTCCTCCACCTGAAACTTGCCATCGAGAACCCAGTAGAGTTTTACCGCATCGAGGTGGAGATCCTGGATATCAATGACAACCCTCCAGAGTTCCCCAGTGACGAGGTTTCCTTGCGCATCTACGAGCTGGCGTCCCTGGGTGCCCGCTTCCCCATCCAGCCTGCCCAGGACCCTGACGTGGGCACCAACACCTTGCAGACCTATCACCTGAGTGCCAATGAGAACTTCAACCTCAATGTGAAGGCGCGTACAGATGGTGGGAAGTTCCCTGAGCTGGTGCTGGAGAGGGCCCTGGACCGGGAACTTAGAGCTTTCCACCATCTGGTCCTGACTGCTGAAGACGGGGGCTCTCCCCCCCAGTCCAGCAAGACACGCATCACTATTCAGGTCCTGGATGCCAACGACAACCACCCGGTCTTTGACAGACCATCGTACGGAGCCCGCTTGGTGGAGAACTCGCCACTGGGCACCCTTGTGGTGAAGTTAAATGCCACTGACGTGGATGAAGGGCCCAATGGAGACATCCGTTACTCCCTCAGCAGCCACAACTCAGCTGCCTTACGTCAGATCTTTGCCATTGATGAGCAAACTGGAGAGATCCGTGTCCAGGGCAACCTGGACTTTGAGGAGGCGACGGTGTATGAGATCGAAGTGGAGGCCAAGGACATGGGGTCACCCACGATGGAGGAGCACTGCAGCGTGGTGGTGGAAATCACTGATGTGAACGACAACGCTCCCGAGGTCATTCTTACCTCCTTCTCCAGCTCCCTGAGTGAGGACGCACCGCCGGGCACAGTGGTGGCCGTGATACACGTCAGAGACAGGGACTCTGGTGATCAGGGCAAGGTCCAGTGTCACGTTCCTCCAGATCTTCCCTTCCAGCTGCGTAAGGACTATGAGCACCAGTACTCGCTGCTAACCAGCACCCGTTTGGACCGGGAGCATATTGCCTACTACAATGTCACCGTCTCTGCCTCGGACCTGGGCAGCCCGCCACTCTCCCGCCACACCATCTTGCCAATCGCCCTGGCAGATGTCAATGACAATGCGCCTCAGTTTGAGCAAGCGTCCTATGAAGTGCTGGTGGCAGAAAACAACCCGGTGGGCAGCGTGCTGGTTACAGTCTCTGCTGCTGACCCTGACTCAGAGCAGAATTCCCGCCTCTCCTACTCCATCCTGCGAGCTGGTGGGACAGATCCAGGCCTGGATCCGACTCGCTACCTCTCCATACATCCCACAAGTGGGCAGGTTTCCGCCAAACTCCCCTTTGACTATGAGCAAACCACCTATCTCCAGTTCCATGTGGAGGTCTCTGATGGTGGCTCCCCAGCCCTGAGGAACAGGACACTGGTTCATGTTTTTATAGTGGACCAGAATGACAATGCCCCACGGGTGCATTTCCCCAGGGCTGGGGAGGACTCTGCTACCCAGTTCCGAATCTCCCCCTCCACCGCCCCTCCTGCTCTCATCACCAAGGTGGTGGCAATAGATGCGGACTCGGGGCGCAATGCCTGGCTCTCCTACAACCTCGTGGAAGCCACAGACCCAGGGCTTTTCAGTGTGGCCCTGCGCTCTGGGGAGATCCGGATCACGCGGGCCCTGCAGGAGACAGATCCTTCTGCGCACGAACTGTTGGTGGTGGTCCGGGATGCTGGGGACCCGCCGCTCTCCACAGCTGTCACACTGGTGGTGCTGGTGGAGGAGAAGGGCCCAGAGGCTTTGCAGGGCTCCGAGACTCAGGCCACAGACAGTGGGGGCTTACCCACAATTACGCTTTATCTGATCGTGTCCCTAGTGCTCATCTCCACCGTCTCGCTGGTGGGACTGGCCGCGCTGGGCATGCGGTGCCTCCGGCGGGGCTCTGCACCTGCCAACCAGGGCTGCTGCGTGGAGAGTGTGAACACGCTTCAGCCCCCTCCCAGGCACATTTTTGGGCACTTGCACTATGAGCCTAAGCAAGGGGACACGGTGATGGGCGTCCAGGTGACAGCCACGGCACCCCCCGCCCCGCGTTACCGCTCCTGCTTTTCGTCTGTCTCGGACATCAGCGAGTTCATGTT